GGGATTTGAGAGAGGAGAGGTTGGAGGACAAAGATGAGTCTTGGGGGAGAGAAGCCGACAATAAAAAGAAGAAGGCGTCAATTTTTTTCCTTCGAATTTCCAGAAGATACTGGATGCTTCTATTTTGAGATCTATGAAGGCGTCAATTTTTTCGTTCTAGACGAATTCTTAGAAGATACCGGATGCTTCTTCGAAAAAGACAAAATTACACGCCTCCGATTCTGACTCAGAATTTCTGAGAATCTTTCTGAGAAAAGACTGTCATGGGTGTTTTACGAAACCAGCAACGCCCTATAAATAGAGCAACACCGCCATTGTTGACCGAAACTTTTAAAAGTCTGGTGGCTGCTGATTCATAGTAGTTTGGCGCAAACAAAAATAATTGTATAATAGCGGTGTAGTACATTAGGCACACATCGAAAATGCGAGAAGTTTCTGAAAAGACTCACCAATTTGAATTTTGAAGCTTTAGAAATATCAAGAGAGCGTTTTGTGAAAATTTGAAACAAAAATGAAGGAAGGAACAATAAGAATGTAAAGACGACATTAAAATTTGCATTTGTACCGCCCAATTCAATAAAATAGAATTCTACAAAAAAAAAAAACGTTCCATATTCTTTTTATCTATTATAAATTTTTACCTTGGTAATAAAGAAAAACGCCCCATTTTCAATTTTTCTTAATTACAAAGAAAATTCATTTTATAATGATTTGAATACATTTTTCGAGCTAAAAAACCTTAAAATATCTTTGAAAACAGTACCGTTCAATAAAATCTGAATAATTTCAGTTGATTTTTTGTCCTATTGCCCGCGTTCAGGAATCTGGAGCTCGACCAAAAAAAGTATTTTTTGATTGATACAGATTATTTCCAGAAGTCTAGAGCTTGGCGCTTAAGTTTCCGATCGATTTTAAAATTTTGGAGCGTGTAAGAGTTTTTGAAAATTCCAATATTTTCAGCTACTTGCCGAGTCCTGAAAGAAACCATTTTTGACCAGTTTTTGTATTGAAAACAAAAAAACCGGTGTCGTTCAGAGAACTACAAATAGCTGAAAAATTAAGAATTTCCAAAAAATTTTGCTAATGCAAAGTTTGCAATCTAAATATGTTTCACACTTCCAAAACATGCGAAGTGATCGAATACTTGACAGCCAAGCTCCAGACTTCTGAAAACTGTCGATATGACTAGAACACAACTGAAAATACGTTTCTCTATATAAATTATTTGAATACCTTTTATTGAATACCTGATAACTTGAACTTTTAATGTGAATACCTGATAACTTGAACTCCTAAAAAATTCAATTATTCAAAAAACACAATTTTTGAAATTATGAACCACATTCTAAGAGAAAATATATTCCTGACTAAGTATGACGGGACTCTCTCTCAATCATTTTTTTTTGAGGAATATCCTGACGGAGGTATATATCGGGCCATGTCATTTTGATCTATCGCTAGCTAACGTGACACGCGGACTGCTCGAAAAAATGACCAAAATGACATGTTCTTATAAAGCAAAGAATAGGAAGAAGGAGAAAGGACAAAACGGCCCGTTTTGGCATATTTGAAAATGCAAGAGCATTGAAAATGGTGTTAGATCGGAAGGGAAGGGCCTTTGGAATGGGGCTGGCTGCCGATTTACTTATGCAACACTCGAGAGTCCCTTTGACGACGCTAATGCCAAGTTAGTGCTCTGAAGACTTGCGCGTTCTGCTAGCGTCTGCGTCTCACGTTGCTATTTCGCCTAATCGTCTTTTCATTGGTGGGGCTTCTTCTTCCACTTATCATTGAAAAGGACGGAAGGGGCAGAACCATTGCGGGGAAATGAATTATTCGCCAAGGCGAAAGAAGCGGGACCACATTTAATGTGCCAAAAAAGTTTCTATTCATTGGTATTGCCGGGTTTTTGGGGGGAGCGCAATGAATAGTCAACAAAAGTAAGAAAAAAAAGCGGCGACAATAAAGCATGCCTGTCTTCTATTTTCAGAAATTGTGCCTGAGAAATGAAGTGCATATGGAAGTCGTAAAAAATTGGGTATTCGGTTTTATAGGGGGTCTCGTAAAATTTTAGTTCAATTTAATTAATTAGAAGTGTTTCTGAGCAACAGAAGAAACTGAGAAATTCAAAACTTATTAGAAAATCAATCAAAAAATCCAAAATTAATTGTTATACTCAAATATTATTTTATATATTAAAAAAAAACAACTTTCGAAACCGAAGTTTTTGAAAATTTTCTGTACTTTTTCAAATTTGAGAAATTGCCACTTTTAACAAAGAACGAAAAATGGAAAAAAAATGCGTAAAATTTTTTGTAAAATTCTTCTAAAATTATTAGTTAAATATAATTTTATTGAAGAGATTTTTAAGAATTTCAAAATCCAAAATTAATTTTAGTTTTTAAGAATTAGTTAGAAAATTCTTATAAAAATAATTAAAAATTCAAACTTTCAATTTTAAAAGCAAAGTTACAAAAAGTGTTTTTTTTGTGTTTTCAAAATAAAAAAAAATCGATTTTTCAAAATGTAGTCATAACTACATCTAATCAAGTCTACTAGCTATGGCGGTTTTGGAGTGGTCTGTCGAGAAACCGGCGACATGTTGTTCCTACTCTCTTAATGCCGAAACTTCTTTTTCCCCAGAAAGGAAAACAAACAGAAAGTGACTGAGACTTTTGTGGTGGGTCGGGAAGCGGTCACACTCTCAATAGAAACCAAACAATGTCTGTGTCAGCTAGAAAAAAATTGAGATGCTCAGGCGTCGCCAATTAGGAGTTATTCAAATTAGGTTACTGAAGCGATGAGAATAAGAGCAGAGCGCTTCATCCTCCTTCTAGAGAGGGCTACACTCTCAGAATCTATGCATTTTCGATGGAAACTTGATCTTCCGAGAGGACATGGAAACAAGAGGAAGGAAGTCGGGGCGAGTGCTCCGTGCCCGCTGCAGATGTCATATTCCAAATTCCCAATGGAAATTCGTAGTGAACGTGTGAAAAAAAAATGGGCGCCCGGCTCTCGCAGTATCATAAATATCGAAAAGAGCTTCTAGAATTTTCTTTCTCCCTCTGGGAGGTCATTCTTGGCTTTGACTCGGTTATACCTTCTAATCCCAAAACCAAAAACAGGTAAAACAAAACTGATAGAATTTGAAAAAAAAAACAACGACATCCGTTCCATAAAAAAAAACACATTTTGGATTTGGTCAACTGAAAAGAAAACGGAAGGAAGGAAGACGAGAAAATGAGTACTCACAACTGGTAAAGATACTTCAGAAAAGGAAAAGAAATTGAGAAGAAAATAAGCAACTTTAGAGGGAACTTGAAATTTTTTTGGGATGTTCCGGAGGTAAAAAAAACTGTGTTGAAACTATGTTATGAGTCGAAAAAAGAAAAATTGAAAAAAACAAAACATCACTTTTAATGAAAACTAATTATCGAAAAAAATGAATCAAAAATGAACTTGATAGATATTTAAATTTTCCATGTCTGAAAAAATCGTTTATCTAATATAATTTTCCAAATAAATCAAAAAACTTCATAAAGTCTAGCAGCGCCAATTACGAGAGCATAAATACTGTACCATTCATGAACATGAACAAAAACGTATTTTCGAGTGATTTTTGGACATAATGACCATTTTCCGGATTATGTAGCTCGGCTATCAACGGACAAGGCCGGGCCTTCAAAAAGTTGGTCAAGGCCCGGAAGGCCCGCTTTGATTTTTCAGACAAAAAGCTTGCTTTTTTTGGAAAAATTGTTCTTATGATCTATTTTTAAGCTAAATTGTAAATATTGAATTTGTAAATAGTTAAACAAAATTTTGAAGAAGAATTTTTTCTGAGACTTTTCCGGAGGTGGGATTGGACGGAAAATTGCATTTTTGAAGCAAAATAACTGTTTTTTTTTCTCAAAAACTAACTTTTTTGTTAAAAATATCTCAAAAACTTATCAACGAAAAAAAAAATTTATCACATTTTTTTTTAATTTTCAACGCGATTGAGAACTTTACAGCCGAGCTCCAAACTCCTGACTATGGTCAAAATGGTCGGAAACCAATCAAAAAAATTGGTTGTTGTATTCCTTTTGACCGGTAAATTTGGAAAAACTTCCTTCAAAAATGAAATTTTTATCGGGACTGTAAAATCTTCCATAGAACCGCTAATTATAATAAATCTGCAAAATTCTCAATTAGACCGTCTCTTTCAGGACACCGTAATTCCTTTATGAGACCGTAATTTGTTGTGGGGTTGTAAAATTATTGTGGTACCGTAAAACTCATGAAGAACCATGATTTGTACTACTCGTAAAATTCTAAACAATTTTCGAAATAAAAAATATGAGTTGGAAAATTATTTGGCAGCTGTTAAAAAAATTGTAATTTGGCAAATTCATCCTAAAACGTCATAAATTGCCTATTTTAGCATTTCAATAGTAAACTACATACTTTCAATTTTGTTTTTGTTGTTAGAATCCTGAAAACCGAATACACCGCATCTTAACCACATTATCCATCCACCTGTCTGACTACATCATTTTCTTACACAATTTTCTATCACAGATTAGATGTTTATTTTTGAATAGAGGGGTTGACCAGAATATTGGTTTAGAACGTTATGACAATCTCATACAAATCATTTCCTATAATCACTTGGCGTGATTATGAATTATCGTTAAAAAATATATTTTTTCTCCTGCAAAAGAACCGTTTGTAGGTGAAATTAAAAATTGAAGGCGATAGGAAGAGGTGCGGGGGGAAACATGAAAACAATTCACAGATAGAAGATCTCAGAGAAGATAAGCATTGATAGCAGAGAGAGAGAGAAAAGAAACGTATTTGGCTTGCTCAGCAAATTGTAGGTAAATGCTGATGACTGAAACAAAAAAAGATGTTAAAATATGTTCGGGATTATAAACAAAAAGATATATAAGTATGGTACAAATTGAAGTGACCCAAAAACTGGAGGTTGTAGAAGACACGTGGCAAAAAGGTTCTCGTTCGATTTACATGAGGGTGCAAGACTTCTTCTTTTTCTGTGGTTTCGGATGGAGAATTGAGCGAACCGCGTCTTCGAAGACCTGGAAAATGGATTTTGTATAACTTTGGGTTACTGTAACAGGTGAATCTTGCAGAAACTAAATTGAAAAAATTTAGGCTAGAAAATTCTCACCTGAGTAAGACCTTGCTGCGTCAATGCAGAGCACTCCAGATACTTGATTGCTTTGATTTTCTGCGCCATTTTCAGACCTTGTGCTTTTGAGATTGGGGATTTGCCCTCGGCTTGCAACACACGCATTGGTTCTGGCTCATCGCGGAGATCGAGTTTTGTTCCTGTAACGAAGTCACTTTATTTTTGAATTTTCGAGATTTGTGAGTATTTTAATTGTCCAGAATTGTGCACCAAATCTAGCGTTATACTGTAATTCCTGTATTAGAAGGTATTATACTGTTCCAAATACCTCCGGAGGGCACTATATTTTTTTCAAGCCCCAATTGAAAGTCTCTTTTATTAGAGGTACCCTTCTAATACAGGTTTTCCGGCTTTTTTGAATTATAGAATTTTTTTAAAGACTGTAACTTTTTATCAAAAAACTTGAAGAGAGAAGTTCAATTTACTAGATTATGTTCATACACTCAATTTTGAGGAGTAAAAACAATAATTTTGGACCGAAGATTGGAAAAATTACAATCGTTTGACTTAGAAAATGGAAAAAATGGACGGAGCTTCTTTTTTTTTTGAAAAATTCAAAAAAAAATTTAAAAAGTTCAATTTATAAAGTGCAAAAACTGGATTTTTCTAACTCCAAAAACTGAAAAACACACAAAATTTCATAATTTTGAATTGCAGTAATGGCAGAAATCATTGTTTTTTAATTCTAAAAATTTTAATTCAGAGCAACATCTTGAACATTTTTAACTCAATAAGTTCAAAAGTTATTTCATCATAAAGGTGGAAAAATCACTAAATTTCGAAAATGAAAATTTTTAAAATGTCAAAAAAATCTTTTTTAAAACTCCAAGAAATCAATGTGCGGATTGGAAATGTTCAATCTGCGAATGTGAAAAATCGTATTGTTCGATTCTGAAATTGAAAAGCTCGCAAACTTTCAACATAGGAATAGCTAAAAATCCTTTTTTTTTGTGAAAAAATTGAAGAAAACATTGTTTATTTTTCTTGAATTTCAGTTTTTAATGTGCATGTTTTACCATTAATAAGACATCTAGATCAACAACTTCAATTTTTTTTACAATAGGCTCTCAGAGTATTTGCTCTTTGCGTGATTACTGTTGAATTTTGAATTTTGACCTTAAACCAATACCACATGTTTCACGCTACACTCCGATTTTACACTATTTTTGACAAAAAATTTTCAAAGTTCGCCACCTCTTGCCTCCCCCAAAATCACACTAACCAACAAGAATGACCGGCGCATCTGGACAGTGCTGTCGAATTTCCGGAATCCACTTGCTAGCCACATTGTCGAACGAGACGGGCGAAACAACGGAGAAGCAAAGAATGAACACATCGGTTTGTGGGTAGGACAGCGGTCGTAAGCGATCGTAGTCCTCCTGTCCAGCCGTATCCCAAAGTCCCAAGTTCACAATACTGCCGTCAAGATTCATTTGTGCCGAATAGTTGTCAAATCTGAAAGATATACAGCTGGATGATAGTGACGAATGGTTTCATTGGGGATTAACAAAACCCGCCAAAGTATCAAAACTCACACTGTGGGCACATATTGAACAGGAAACGAGTCGGTTGTGTAGGAAATGAGCATGCATGTCTTTCCGACTGTTCCGTCTCCAACAACGACACATTTGATCTGCCTTGAAGGTGACGACATCTGGAAAAATTAATGCAATTTGTGGGCAAATAATTCATAGGGTACACAAACTTTGGGTTCATTGGGTACCAAGCGATTTAGGGGTACAAAATACCTGACAAAAAGCTTAGTTTTGTATCCTCGAGTTGTGAATTTTGTACCCCTAAATCACTTTGTACCCTTTTGCAACCCCGAATCGTTGTAACCTCAGAATTATGTGCCGAATTTTTGAGATCGAAAAAATGAACAAAATGAGTGAAAGGGGCGAGAGAAAAACAAAGAAAGAAACGATTCAAAAATGAGTCATCTCGGAGGGCATAGTAAAGAAAAATGAGGAGGAGACCGTTTCGATAACAGGTGCTATTTCTGGCCAGTGCCATGTGCTTCCAGGGTCATTGCGAAATTTGCTGGGGGCCGGTGTGACGTGGCAAGCACCAATTGAGAGAAAAAGGGGAACAATGCATAAAAGAGAGGGGCCCAACAATGAGAAACGGGGTGGTAGAGGAAGTCCAAATATGTAAACGAAAGCGGGTAGGGGAGGACGGAAAGCGGAAAAGCAGAGAAACATGAATTATTGGGGTGTAGCAAGGAGAGTTGGGATTGAGATATGATGGACAGAACCGACAAAAAGGCCCAAAAAAGAGGCCCGAAATAAGAAAAATGCTCAATTCAAATGGGAAATAGAGCTGGGAAAACGCGGAAAATGCGATTCGACCTCTTCGCAGCTGCAGATGACTCAGCCCAAGCGAAAAATGGAGTAAAATGGAGAAAATGGGTGGAGTGAGGGAGCCGAAGGGTTAATTTAGAACATCTGGGAAATTTGGAAAAGAGAGGAGGAGTGTCTTAGAGGCATTTTCCATTGATATCTGTCGTTGAAAGCCCATAAAGACTAATGCATTGGGATGGGTTAAGCAGGAGAGGAGAAGATGACTGAAGAGAGAAAGGGAAGGGCAAGTTCTTTTTCTCATTCTGGAGTGTGAGAAGAGAACATACACACGAAAAGCCGGATGCGATTCAATTAGTTTGTCACCACCACCACCAACAATATGTGAGTGCCTGGTGTAACTTTTGGGATGTGAAATGAAGAAGAAGAGAAAGAGAAGATAGATGTGTTTGTCGGGAGAAAATAATGAAAATTGACGATGCCAAGATGTCTTTGATTTATTTTTAAAAGATGTGCAGGAATGAGATATATCTATTGGAAACAAAACACTTTTCAACAAGAAATCCGTAAAGATATGGTTTTGAAGGATCGAGTTCACTTTCTTTTCTCGGATATCCTCCCCTAGTATGTTTGACCTTCACGGAAGCCAAGAAATCTCATCGAACCATCTAACAAGAATATTTCTCTTTCTCTCTTATTAAACGGCCGTCATTTTATCACATTGCAAACAAAAAACAACAACAACGACCTCCATAAAACGTGGCAAAAAAAGGGCAGAGGGGAGAGAGGATGCACATCAAATTAAAGGTTATTGGAGTGTGCGAAACGAGGTGGTGACTCATCAGCCCTCTCCCCCTCTTTCTCTATACACACACACTCGTCGAGAACAGTTCTCCTACGCGAGAGACTGCGTCTACCTTGGAGACGCAGCGCACCTCGGATCGTGGGGCGCACTTGCAACGGGAGGAGACTCCGGGGGCCTTTATCGATCGGTTGGCCTCGGTGGTGGTGGTATGCTGCGCACTCGGAGAAATAACTAACCCAGTGTGTCCCCCCGGTTTGTGTGTCGAGAGTGTATATGTTTCTGTCGATATCATTTTCTTGCGCGTCCCCCCTCGTTCCAGTGTAAACCTCTTCTTGCAAACACTTTTTTTCCGATAGAAAATATCTCTCAATTTTTTTTGCATCATTTGTTCGGATTAATTGCCTTAAATAACAATTTTCTTCCAGAAATGTCGCGATTTGGGGTATTTATCATTGGAGTGATGTTTTTGATGTCAATTTTCGATGTGATGAGAAGTGAGTTGAATCTGACGAAAACTATAATTTGACAGTTATAATGTATTCAGCGGTTTCAGCCGATGAGCGGGTCGATGTGGGCACTCAATACGATAAGGATGATTTTGAAGCAGAGTTTGGAGACGAGAACACGGAGAACTTGTACAGGTGAGGGTTTTTGTTTGACAAAAGAATCGTGTAAACCGATATTTTGATGAAAATTCTAGGATACGTTAAGAATGGAATATCTAGACACATCTGAAAGTTTCAGAACCCGCTCGGCAGTCTCAGCAGAGTTTTAGTCAATCAAATGTACAAAAACGTAGTTTTCAGTTGACTTTCCGTTGTTTCGATCATTATCAAAAGTGTGGAGCTCGATTGTGAAGTTTTCGGTCGCTTTGAAAATTTGAGCAAATGCAAAACAGACCTAGATCGAAAACTTTTGCATTCACCGAATTTTGCGAACTTTCTAGTTTTCCAACTAGTTGCCGATTTCTGAAAGACACCTATTTTTTCACATTTTCAGTTCTAAAACAGCCCAAACAGCAATTCTCATCTAAATCTGGGTTTCCAGAATCTTGAGGTTATCTTGAGAGTTGTGTAATTACTGAAGTTGTGAAATTAGTTTTCGAATGAACAAAAATACTACTAGTTGCGAAATTCGTGGTAGCGTAGCTCACTCAAGCAGAACACACTAGAAAGGCTGTGTCTATTCAAGATTGTATAGAAGGGATTAGCAATAAAGGATTTTGACATAATGAACAATGAATAGATTGTTTTTGATTGGAGAATGTAGACATTGAAAAATAAGCTATAAGATGCTGGAGAGCCAATAATGGAAACTGACTACAGTAAAACCTGTAATAGAAGATCCTTCTCACTTTTAAATTTTTTTTTTGAATTTTTTGTTTTGTCAAAGGTAAAAAAAAAGTTATCAAGTGATAAGTTGTTTATTGTATTATTAGAAATGCTTTGTTTTTTGACACTTTTTTGATTTCTTCCGTAGAAATTGAGATAATTGAGCTCAAAAATGACAGCGTGGGGTGCCCTCCTGTAACAGGTCTTACAGTATTTCAGGATACTCAAATCGGTCATTTGCGTTTTTAGAAAAGTGTTGTATCTTTAAAAAAATCTTATCTTTTTCAGCAAAGGAACCGAAGAAGACCATATCGAAGTCCGTGAACAATCCTCATTTGTCAAACCAACTGCCGTTCATCATGCTAAGGATCTTCCAACTCTTCGTGTCTTCTATTGGTACGTTTTTCGGCTCTACTATAAAACTTCGGTCTTCAAAAAAGTCTTTAGATTTTTTTACACCAGAGTTTGCCTCTACTATAAAGTTCTTAAAAACCAAAACTCTTTTTGAAGACTCAAATTTTCTGTGAAGAGCTCATTTTTCGTTCTAATAGCTTCTTCTTAAACACAACGTTAACCATTCCAGCGTGTCATGCGGGTACAAACAAGCCTTCGACCAATTCACCACTTTCGCCAAGGAAAAATACCCAAATATGCCTGTGGAGGGAGCCAACTATGCTCCAGTCCTCTGGAAAGCTTACGTTGCTCAGGCTGTCAGCGTTATCAAATTGGGACTTCTTGTTATCATCCTCACTGGAATCAATCCACTTGAACGTCTTGGATTTGGTTATCCAGGTCCTCTTCGACACGCCCATGAAAACAAAATGTCTTCGTGTATGCTTGTCTTTATGCTTGGAAATCTCGCCGAACAGAGTTTGATCTCCACTGGTGCATTTGAAGTCTACCTTGGCAATGAGCAAATCTGGAGCAAAATTGAGTCGGGACGCGTGCCATCTCCACAGGAATTCATGCAATTGATTGACGCGCAACTTGCCGTGCTCGGAAAAGCTCCGGTGAACACTGAATCGTTTGGAGAGTTCCAGAAAACCGTTTAATAAGTTTCTAAGTAACAAAGTATATTTCTTTTTGTGCTCAATCCCAATACCATTCCACAGTAATTCATCTTCTTAAAATTAATTTTTTTGCGCCTTCTGTTTTCGTTCTACGTGTGTAAACTATTTGCAGTCCACATTTTCTTGTCCTTCCCTCCTCCAAACAAACACGTCTAACCATTTCTTCTCACTTAAAACTAGTCATAGAGTTACATTCATTTATTATTCAAATAAAATTGTTTTTCGAGAAGATTGCGACATCCTCACAAAGTAAAGAATTCGTTAAGAGAGTGCTTGGCACAGATAAATGCAACATTGACGAGCGCGACTTCTTTGGCTAATTGCTTTGAGAATCTCCTGAGCTCCAGCTCGTCCAGAGAAGTTTCCATTTTTGAGATCAAATCGTGCACTTGAGAAATTGCATCTCCATCATACCAATTATCGGAACTGGGGTGGAAGAGGAGATGTCGTGCTTGTGGGTTACCAGGCGCTCCGTGAGGATTGATAAAACATTTTTCAAATCTGAAGATTCTTGTTTTCTTTGGGTCCCTCACGACTTTTCTTACTCGATTAGTTTATTATTTTCATTCACTCTCGCATCAAAAGAGAGGTTATTCAAATTAGAAATGTTCCTCCGTTGTACGATTGCTGACAGTTCCTGGAATCATAATCTTCAGAATTGACTAAACCAGCCCTACAAAAACGTATGGTTCAGTTGATTTTCAGCCATTTTGACCATTTAAAGGTGGGAAGACATGAAAAAATAATGTTCTCAAAATTCCGTTTAAATTTTCCCCTCAAGGAGTTGTACTTGTGGGGGCGAGGATTGAGGGTGCGGCGCCGCTACCGACTGAGCCACGCGGGCAAAGAGAAATCTGCCGCCCGATTGCATACATAAAGGCAAGGACGATAGATGTACGCAGAGTGACATTAAGCGTTGTATACCGTCACGGTAGAATACCCTAACTCCAAAAAACCTCCGAAAAATCTCCTGTCCACCCACCTTTAATTGGGTCTGGAGCTCAGCTGTCAAGGTTTTAGTCGCTTTCGAAAATTTTCAAAAATTATGTCAATTCGTTGTTTTCAATTTAGGTCTGTTTCACACCCTCCAAAAATATCCAAACCGATGGAAAACTTGACAGTCGAGGTCCAGACTCCTGAAAATGGCAAAAAATGCCAAAAGTCAACCAAAAAATACTTTTTTTCAGATTTTTTACAGTAGACTCTCTGATCAAATTTTTTTGTATGTATTTCTTTTTACCTTCACAGTCCTTTCCAACAGCTCAAACTGTTTCATTGATGGTTTCAGGTAGTCCGTTAAGTTCCCTAATGCTTCAGCTCTTCTCAAATGTGTTTGAATTCTTGGCAAATAGTCGTAAATAGTGTCATCGGTTAATTCTTTCAGGCTGAAAAACATTTTGACTTGAATTGTATTACCGTAAAACCTCTAATAGAACGACACCCGGATCGTCCACTTTGAGCCTATATATCTCATTTGCTGTGAAAGATATCAAAAAGTGGTTAAATAGTAAA